GTGGAATGGAAAAACTTTGATATTAAGCTTTGCCTGGCGAAGACCTGTGAACATACTGGTCTAAAGTGGCCAGAATCCCTTCCCTTGGTTCTTTTCCAAATCCAAAACTCTGTTCAGAGATCCTTGGGTCTGACCCCTTTTGAGATTGTTATGGGTCGACCCATGAGGGGACTCGCTGCTCCTCCACCCCAACATCTGACTCATCTACATGATTCTCTATTAACCTGTTGCCAAGGGCTCGCCAAGGCCCTCAAGGTTATCTCACTGCAGGTTAAAGCCACAGCATCACATCAGTCTCTAGACGGCGAATCGGTTGTCAGTCCCGTCCAACCGGGAGATTGGATCTTGATTAAGGTCCACCAGAGGAAGGATAGCCTGCAGCCTCGGTGGAAGGGGGCTTTTCAGGTCCTGCTGACCACCCCAACTGCCGTAAAGGTTGCCGAGGTTTCTGCTTGGATCCATACCTCCCACTGCAAAAAGGTATCTGCCCTGACAGGGTGGAAGGTTTCTCTCACTGGTGATACCTCCCTGAAGATCCAGAGGGTTCCTGTGAGTGAAGATCAGATGACGAAATTTTGAAGAGTTCCTGTGAGTGAAGATTAGACGACGAAGTCTCGAAGATAGCCTACCCAGCTAGCCAAGCTTCATTTGAAGCTATGAACTTTAGTTCTGTGTACTAATATACTTTAGTAATATTAGTGTGAATAGCAATAACCCGTGGGAAAATTCCAGATAACTGCACAGATTTAGAAACTCCCTAGGGAGTGACTTTGTTTTATATTTTTGTGATTAATGTTGTGTTATTATTAGTGTGCTGGAGACCGAAGTTTTAGTCAAAGAAAGTTCCTCAGAGTTCCAAGAGATAGTTGCGTTGGGATAGCACTCGGGCAGGCCCTAAGATGTCCCTTTTTTTGCTTTGCCTCTTGCTAAGGGTTCCAGTTGAGGCATGGGAAGAATACAGTGTTGCATTCCTGGGACAGAGCATTCCTCATGCAGGAAAACTTACAAATTGCTGGGTACACATACATGGGCCCACGCATCCGACCAAGGGAATCCCAATGCTTGGGGTGCTGATCCCCCTTGAGGTTTGGGGAACTGACTCCAATACCAGCTTTGTCAAGTTTTCCCCCCCGTCTAGCAGAAACCAGCTGTCAATACCTACGTGGTGGAAAGTGGCTCGAGACAGTTAGAAACTGTCCTCAGGGCTGGAAGCAGCCGTCTGTTATAAGGTTAATAAGACAGGAAGGACGGGGGAGGCTGGCTACTTTGTAAGGCATTACCCCAGATGCAAGGTGACCTTCCTGGCCATGGACTGAGAAAAGAGGAAAAGTGTCAAGAGAGGTTCAGTCCCATATTTGTGACAGGACGCCCATTGCCATCTTCACACCCTCAGATAGGAACTAGAGTGTGATGCCTAGTTTAGTGCTCGATGGCTTTGATTTTCATGTGGTGTTAGGTCCTGTTTTCTTCAACCAATCAATATCTCACCCCAGAATGGTGGAAAGCCAGCATGCCCCTTCCTACATCCTACAGGTCAATCGAAAATGTCGGGAGGGAAACACGCCCTGTAGGGATCTTAGTACTGCAGCCGCTCCCGGTTTGTACTGGCTATGTGGGGATGACGCCCATAAGACTCTACCATGGTACTGAGTCGGCACCTGTACCTTGGACAGAGTCATCCCGACGTTTGACTTGCAGTCTAGCCTCTCGTGGCATGAAGTGTCTAACTTCCTGCCTGGCTTTCTCAGACATCGGCATGCAGTTGAGAACCCGTTGGTTCTCCAACACACGGGGTTTCACCAATTTACCAGGGCCTTCCTCCCTTGGTTAGGGGTAGCTGAATTAGAAAAAGCCATTATAAATATTTTGGGAGCCATGGAGAATTTTATCAATGCTAGTGCCGACGCTTTGGGAGCTCTCAATGATGAGATTACCCAGGTGGGACAAGTAGCTGTTGAAAATCGTATGGCCCTGGACTATCTCCTAGCCGCCCAAGGGGCGGTATGTGCGGTTGTGAACCACACGTGCTGCACCTGGATAGATCAGCACCAACGAATGCAGGGGGATCTCCGTACCATAAGAAAGCAGTTGCAAGTGATT